CCCGGTTCGGGTGCAGGGGGGGGCACGGGAGCACCTTTGGGTGCCCTGGGTCTGGTTCGGATTGCTGGGGGGGCACCATAGGGTGCCGGGGTCAGTTTCGGGGTGCTTCGGTCGCACCCTGAGGTGCTGGGGTCAGTTTCGGGGTGCTGAGGTCCGGTTTGCGGTGCTGGGGGCGGTTTTAGGGTGCCTGAGTCCGGTTATAGGGTGCTGGGCTCAGTTTTGGGGTGCCGGGGTCCAGTTTTAGGGTGCTGGGGTCAGTCTCAGGGAGCCGGAGTCCAGTTTTAGGGTGCTGGGGTCAGTTTCGGGGTGCTGGAGTCCAGTTTTAGGGTGCTGGGGTCAGTCTTAGGGTGCTGGGGTCAGTTTTGGGGTGCTGGAGTCTGCTTTTAGGGTGCTGGGTTCAGTTTCGGGGTGCCGGGGTGCGGTTTTAGGGTGTTGGGGTCAGTTTTAGGGTGCTGTGCTCAGTTTAGGGGTGCTGAGGTCCGGTTTGGGGTGCTGGGCTCAGTTTAGGGGTGCTGAGGTCCGGTTTGGGGTGCTGGGCTCAGTTTAGGGGTACTGAGGTCCGGTTTGGGGTGCTGGGCTCAGTTTAGGGGTGCTGAGGTCCGGTTTGGGGTGCTGGGCTTAGTTTAGGGGTGCTGAGGTCCAGTTTTAGGGTGCCTGGATCAGTTTAGGGGTGCTGAGGTCCGGTTTGGGGTGCTGGGCTCAGTTTCTGGGTGCTGAGGTCCGGTTTGGGGTGCTGGGCTCAGTTTAGGGGTGCTGAGGTGCGGTTTGGGGTGCTGGGCTCAGTTTAGGGGTGCTGAGGTCCGGTTTGGGGTGCTGGGCTCAGTTTCAGGCTGCCGGGTCCGGTTTTAGGGTGGTGGGGTCAATTTTAGGGTGCTGTGCTCAGTTTAGGGGTGCTGAGGTCCGGTTGAGGGTGCTGGGCTCAGTTTTGGGATGCTGAGGTCCGGTTTGGGGTGCTAGGCTCAGTTTCTGGGTGCTGAGGTCATTTTCATGGTGTTGATGTCCGTTTTGGGGTGCTGGGGTCAGTTTTGGGGTACTGGGCTCAGTTTTAGGGTGCTGGGCTCGGTTTTGGGGTGCTGGGGTCAGTTTTGGGGTGCTGGGCTCAGTTTTAGGGTGCTGGGCTCAGTTTTGGGGTACTGGGTTCAGTTTTAGGGTGCTGGGGTCAGTTTTGGGGTGCTGGGCTCGGTTTTGGGGTGCTGGGCTCAGTTTTGGGGTACTGGGTTCAGTTTTAGGGTGCTGGGGTCAGTTTTGGGGTGCTGGGGTCAGTTTTGGGGTGCTGGGCTCGGTTTTGGGGTGCTGGGCTTGGTTTCGTGGTGTTGGGGTGCAGCGGGGGCACCCCGCGGTGCCAGCCCTGTTTTGGGGTGCCCAGGTTCAGTTTGGGGGTCTCTGGGCTCATTTTGGGGGCATTTGGCTCAGTCTGGGGGCTCGGGGCTCTGATTTGGGGTCTCTGGGCTCATTTTGGGCTCATTTCGCTCAGTTTTGGGTCTCTGGGCTTGGGTTTGGGGTCATTTCGCTCCGTTTTGGGTCTCTGGGCTCATTTTGGGCTCATTTTGCTCCGTTTTGGGTCATTCCGCTCCGTTTTGGGTCTCTGGGCTCATTTTGGGCTCATTTTGCTCCGTTTTGGGTCATTTCGCTTCGTTTTGGGTCTCTGAGCTCATTTTGGGCTCATTTTGCTCCGTTTTGGGTCATTCCGCTTTGTTTTGGGTCTCTGGGCTCATTTTGGGCTCATTCCGCTCCGTTTTGGGTCTCTGGGCTCATTTTGGGCTCATTCCGCTCAGTTTTGGGTCTCTAGGCTCAGTTTTGGGTCTCTGGGCTCCGTTTTGGGCTCATTCCGCTCCGTTTTGGGTCTCTGGGCTCATTTTGGGCTCATTCCGCTCAGTTTTGGGTCTCTGGGCTCATTTTGGGCTCATTCCGCTCCGTTTTGGGTCTCTGGGCTCATTTTGGGCTCATTCCGCTCCGTTTTGGGTCTCTGGGCTCATTTTGGGCTCATTCCGCTCCGTTTTGGGTCTCTGGGCTCATTTTGGGCTCATTCCGCTCCGTTTTGGGTCTCTGGGCTCATTTTGGGCTCATTCCGCTCCGTTTTGGGTCTCTGGGCTCAGTTTGGGTCTCTGGGCTCATTTTGGGCTCATTCCGCTCCGTTTTGGGTCTCTGGGCTCAGTTTTGGGCTCATTCCGCTCCGTTTTGGGTCTCTGGGCTCAGTTTTGGGTCTCTGGGCTCATTTTGGGCTCATTCCGCTCCGTTTTGGGTCTCTGGGCTTATTTTGGGCTCATTCCGCTCCGTTTTGGGTCTCTGGGCTCAGTTTTGGGCTCATTCCGCTCCGTTTTGGGTCTCTGGGCTCAGTTTTGGGTCTCTGGGCTCTGTTTTGGGCTCATTCCGCTCCGTTTTGGGTCTCTGGGCTCATTTTGGGCTCATTCCGCTCCGTTTTGGGTCTCTGGGCTCAGTTTTGGGTCTCTGGGCTCAGTTTTGGGCTCATTCCGCTCCGTTTTGGGTCTCTGGGCTCATTTTGGGCTCATTCCGCTCCGTTTTGGGTCTCTGGGCTCAGTTTTGGGTCTCTGGGCTCAGTTTTGGGTCTCTGGGCTCAGTTTTGGGCTCATTCCGCTCTGTTTTGGGTCTCTGGGCTCATTTTGGGCTCATTCCGCTCCGTTTTGGGTCTCTGGGCTCAGTTTTGGGCTCATTCCGCTCCGTTTTGGGTCTTTGGGCTCATTTTGGGCTCATTCCGCTCCGTTTTGGGTCTCTGGGTCATTTTGGGCTCATTCCGCTCCGTTTTGGGTCTCTGGGCTCATTTTGGGCTCATTCCGCTCCGTTTTGGGTCTCTGGGCTCATTTTGGGCTCATTCCGCTCCGTTTTGGGTCTCTGGGCTCATTTTGGGCTCATTCCGCTCCGTTTTGGGTCTCTGGGCTCATTTTGGGCTCATTCCGCTCCGTTTTGGGTCTCTGGGCTCATTTTGGGCTCATTCCGCTCCGTTTTGGGTCTCTGGGCTCATTTTGGGCTCATTCCGCTCCGTTTTGGGTCTCTGGGCTCATTTTGGGCTCATTCCGCTCCGTTTTGGGTCTCTGGGCTCATTTTGGGCTCATTCCGCTCCGTTTTGGGTCTCTGGGCTCATTTTGGGCTCATTCCGCTCCGTTTTGGGTCTCTGGGCTCAGTTTTGGGTCTCTGGGCTCATTTTGGGCTCATTCCGCTCCGTTTTGGGTCTCTGGGCTCAGTTTTGGGCTCATTCCGCTCCGTTTTGGGTCTCTGGGCTCAGTTTTGGGCTCATTCCGCTCCGTTTTGGGTCTCTGGGCTCAGTTTTGGGCTCATTCCGCTCCGTTTTGGGTCTCTGGGCTCAGTTTTGGGTCTCTGGGCTCATTTTGGGCTCATTCCGCTCCGTTTTGGGTCTCTGGGCTCAGTTTTGGGCTCATTCCGCTCCGTTTTGGGTCTCTGGGCTCAGTTTTGGGCTCATTCCGCTCCGTTTTGGGTCTCTGGGCTCAGTTTTGGGCTCATTCCGCTCCGTTTTGGGTCTCTGGGCTCAGTTTTGGGCTCATTCCGCTCCGTTTTGGGTCTCTGGGCTCAGTTTTGGGCTCATTCCGCTCCGTTTTGGGTCTCTGGGCTCAGTTTTGGGCTCATTCCGCTCCGTTTTGGGTCTCTGGGCTCATTTTGGGCTCATTCCGCTCCGTTTTGGGTCTCTGGGCTCATTTTGGGCTCATTCCGCTCCGTTTTGGGTCTCTGGGCTCATTTTGGGCTCATTCCGCTCCGTTTTGGGTCTCTGGGCTCATTTTGGGCTCATTCCGCTCCGTTTTGGGTCTCTGGGCTCATTTTGGGCTCATTCCGCTCCGTTTTGGGTCTCTGGGCTCATTTTGGGCTCATTCCGCTCCGTTTTGGGTCTCTGGGCTCATTTTGGGCTCATTCCGCTCCGTTTTGGGTCTCTGGGCTCAGTTTTGGGTCTCTGGGCTCATTTTGGGCTCATTCCGCTCCGTTTTGGGTCTCTGGGCTCAGTTTTGGGCTCATTCCGCTCCGTTTTGGGTCTCTGGGCTCAGTTTTGGGCTCATTCCGCTCCGTTTTGGGTCTCTGGGCTCAGTTTTGGGCTCATTCCGCTCCGTTTTGGGTCTCTGGGCTCAGTTTTGGGTCTCTGGGCTCATTTTGGGCTCATTCCGCTCCGTTTTGGGTCTCTGGGCTCAGTTTTGGGCTCATTCCGCTCCGTTTTGGGTCTCTGGGCTCAGTTTTGGGCTCATTCCGCTCCGTTTTGGGTCTCTGGGCTCAGTTTTGGGCTCATTCCGCTCCGTTTTGGGTCTCTGGGCTCAGTTTTGGGCTCATTCCGCTCCGTTTTGGGTCTCTGGGCTCAGTTTTGGGCTCATTCCGCTCCGTTTTGGGTCTCTGGGCTCAGTTTTGGGGCTCATTCCGCTCCGTTTTGGGTCTCTGGGCTCATTTTGGGCTCATTCCGCTCCGTTTTGGGTCTCTGGGCTCATTTTGGGCTCATTCCGCTCCGTTTTGGGTCTCTGGGCTCATTTTGGGCTCATTCCGCTCCGTTTTGGGTCTCTGGGCTGTGTTTTCGGGTACCGGTTCCTTTCCCCGTCCCCCCTTCCCTCCTCTCCCGCCCGGCCCGGGCGAGCCGGGGCTCGTCCGCTGTCCCCGGGGGCGAGAACCGGGCCGGGGCGGAGCCGCCTGGGTGGGGGCCGCGGCGGCGGGGGGGGGGGGGGGGGGGGGGGGGGTTACCCCAAAACCCCCCCTTGACACCCATTGACCCCCACCCCCCCCTTGGCCATGGGGCACCCATGGGTGCGGAGGTCCCTATTCTATACCCCCCCCACCCATGGGGTGACCCCAATGTAAAAGAGGGGGTTCCCCCCCCCCCCAAATCAGCGCCGTGCCCGGGGGGGGGGCGGCGCCGGCTCCTTGCGATGCGTTAATTACTGCTAATTATGCTAATGCGGAGAACGGGCCCCGGCACATCCCGCTCCCGCGTTCCCAAGGGATTGGGGTGCAGGGGGGGGGGGGTGTCCTGTGTCGTGTGTGTGTGTGTGTGTCCCCCCCCCACTATCGCGACATCCCCCTGCAGGTATCGCGATGGCGAGCGAGCGGCTGCAGAGCGCTCAGGACCTGCTGGACCTCACCTTCCAGTGTAAGGGGGGGGCAGCCAAAGGGTGCTGTGGGGCACGCTATGGGGTGCAGGCTGACCCCCCCTCCCCTGCCCCACATGTTCCCCCCCCCAGCGCTGGCCATGCAGCACATGGACCTGAAGCAGGTGGAGCTGGACACGGCCGTGGCCAAGGTGGATGAGCTGTCCCGGCAGCTGGAATCCCTGTGGAGCGACGGGCCAGGGCCCCCCCCCAGGGTAGGAATGGGGCGGAATTGGGGGGGGGAGTTGGGGGGGGGGGGGAATTGGGGGTGGGAATTGTTGGGAATTGGGGGTGGGAATTGTTGGGAATTGGGGGTGGGAATTGTTGGGAATTGGGGGGGGGAGTTGTTGGGATGGGAATTGGGGGGTGGGAATTGGGGGGTGGGAATTGGGGGGGGGGAATTGGGGGGGGGGAATTGTTGGGAATTGGGGGTCAGAGCTGTTGGGATGGGAATTGGGAAGTGGGAATTGGGGGTCAGAGCTGTTGGGATGGGGATTGGGGGATGGGAATTGTTGGGATGGGAATTGGGAAGTGGGAATTGGGGGTCAGAGCTGTTGGGATGCGAATTGTTGGGATGGGAATTGGGGAGTGGGAATTGTTGGGAATTGGGGGTCAGAGCTGTTGGGATGGGAATTGTTGGGATGGGAATTGGGAAGTGGAAATTGGGGGTCAGAGCTGTTGGGATGGGAATTGTTGGGATGGGAATTAGGGGGTGGGAATTGGGGGTCAGAGCTGTTGGGATGGGAATTGGGGGATGGGAATTGTTGGGATGGGAATTGGGGGTGGGAATTGGGGGGTGGGAATTTGGGGTCAGAGCTGTTGGGATGGGAATTGGGGGATGGGAATTGTTGGGATGGGAATTGGGGGGTGGGAATTGGGGGTCAGAGCTGTTGGGATGGGAATTGTTGGGATGGGAATTGGGGGGTGGGAATTGGGGGTCAGAGCTGTTGGGATGGGAATTGGGGGATGGGAATTGTTGGGATGGGAATTGGGAAGTGGGAATTGGGGGTCAGAGCTGTTGGGATGCGAATTGTTGGGATGGGAATTGGGGAGTGGGAATTGTTGGGAATTGGGGGTCAGAGCTGTTGGGATGCGAATTGTTGGGATGGGAATTGGGGAGTGGGAATTGTTGGGAATTGGGGGTCAGAGCTGTTGGGATGGGAATTGTTGGGATGGGAATTGGGGGGTGGGAATTGAGGGGTGGGAATTGTTGGGAATTGGGGGTGGGAGTTGTTGGGATGGGAATTGGGGGGTGGGAATTGTTGGGAATTGTTGGGATGTGAATTGGGGGTGGGAGTTGTTGGGATGGGAATTGTTGGGATGGTGACTGGGAGGTGGGAATTAGGGGTGGAAATTAGTGGGAATTGGGTATTGGGAGTTGTTGGGGTGGGGATTGGGGTGGGAATTGTGGGGATGGGGATTGAGGGATGGGAATTGGGAGGTGGGAATCAGGGGATGGGAACTGGGGTGGGAATTGTTGGGGTGGGGATTCAGGGATGGGAATTGGGATGGGAATTGTCGGGGTGGGAATTGTCGTGGTGGGAATTGCGGGATGGGAATTGGTTTTGGAATTGTTGGGATGGGGATTGGGGAGGGGAATTGGGAGGTGGGAATTGGGCTGGGAATTGGGAGGTGGGAATTGGGATGGGGATTGGGGTGGGAATTGTTGGGATGGGAATTGAGGGATGGCAACTGGCAGGTGGGAATTGGGATGGGGATTGGGGTTGGAATTGTTGGGATGGGAATTGGGGTGGGAATTGGGTGGGAATTGCCGGGATGGGGATTGTGTGGCAGGGATTGCAGCAAGGGGGACCACCCCCCCCCGCTCTCCCGCTCTGTTCCCGTCCCCATTCCAGGACATTCCCGGCCGGAGCCGCTCCCCCCTGGCGCGCAGGAGCCTGGAGACCCCCGAGGGGGCGGGGGACGCTCTGGGCCCCCCCGGCTCCCCCCGGGCCCCCCATTTCCTGCAGGGCGAGGATCGGGCCCCTTCCCCCCGGCCCAAGCTGCTGGCGGTGCCCGGGGGGGGCCGAGCCCCGTCCCCGCGCCCCCCCCTCCGCCCCTATGAGCTGCTGGGAATGGGGGGGGGGCCCCGGCCCCTCGCGCCCCCCCCCTATGAGATGCACGGGCTCTACCCGTCCATCGGCGGGGGGGCCGCGGCCTTCCGGGCACAGGGTGAGGGGGGGGGGGGGGGGGGGGGCAAGGGGGGGTTTGGGGGGGTATAGACCTGGGTATGGGTGGGGGTGGGGGTGGTGATGATCCCATGGGGGGCTCCACGGCCGGGGTGTCCCCCGTCCATCCTAAGGCATCCCCAGTGCATCCATGGGTGTCCCCATGGGTGCCCCCATCCCAATCCATCCATGGGTGTCCCCATCCCCATGGGTGTCCCCATCCCAATCCATCCATGGGTGTCCCCATGGGTGTCCCCATCCCAATCCATCCATGGGTGTCCCCATGGGTGTCCCCATCCCAATCCATCCATGGGTGTCCCCATGGGTGTCCCCATCCCAATCCATCCATGGGTGTCCCCATGGGTGTCCCCATCCCAATCCATCCATGGGTGTCCCCATGGGTGTCCCCATCCCAATCTATCCATGGGTGTCCCCATGGGTGTCCCCATCCCAATCCATCCATGGGTGTCCTCATGGGTGTCCCCATCCCAATCCATCCATGGGTGTCCCCATCCCCATGGGTGTCCCCATCCCAATCCATCCATGGGTGTCCCCATCCCCATGGGTGTCCCCATCCAATTCCCATCCATGAGTGCCCCAATCCCATCCGTAGGTGTCCCTATCCCCATGGGTGTCCCCAGTCCACCCATGGGTGCCTCAATCCCATTTCTATCCATGGGTGTCCCCAGTCCATCCATAGGTTTCCCCATCCCCATGGGTGTCCCCATCCCATTCCCACCAATGGGTGCCCCAATCCATCCTTGGGTGTCCCCATCCCTATGGGTGTCCCTGTCCCATCCCCATAGGTGTCCCTATCCCCATGGGTGCCCCCATCCCATTCCCATCCATGGGTGTCCCCAGTGCATCCATAAGTTTCCCCATCCCCATGGGTGCCCCCATCCCATTCCCACCTATGGGTGCCCCAATCCATCCTTGGGTGTCCCCATCCCATTCCCGCCAATGGGTGCCCCAATCCATCCATGGGTGCCCAGTCCATCCATGGGTGCCCCCATCCCGTTCCCACCTATGGGTGCCCCAATCCATCCACGGGTGCTCCCATCCCATTCCCACCTATGGGTGCCCCAATCCATCCATGGGTGCCAAATCAATCCATGGGTGCCCAATCCATCCATGGGTGCCCCCATCCCATTCCCACCTATGGGTGCCCCAATCCATCCATGGGTGCCCAATCAATCCATGGGTGCCCAATCCATCCATGGATGCCCCCATCCCATTCCCACCTATGGGTGCCCCAATCTATCCATGGGTGCCCCCATCCCATTCCCACCTATGTGTGCCCCAATCCACCCACGGGTGCCCCCATCCCATTCCCACCCATGGGTGCCCCAATCCATCCATGGGTGCCCCCATCCCCATGGGTGCCCCCATCCCGTTCCCACCCATGGGTGCCCCAATCCATCCACGGGTGCCCCCATCCCATTCCCACCTATGGGTGCCCCAATCCATCCATGGGTGCCCCCATCCCCATGGGTGCCCCAATCCATCCATGGGTGCCCCCATCCCCATGGGTGTCCCCATCCCATTCCCACCCATGGGTGCCCCAATCCATCCACGGGTGCCCCCATCCCGTTCCCACCCATGGGTGCCCAATCCATCCATGGGTGCCCCCATCCCATTCCAAACTTTGGGCGCCCCAATCCATCCATGGGTGCTCCCATCCCATTCCAAACTTTGGGCGCCCCAATCCATCCACGGGTGCTCCCATCCCATTCCCACCTATGGGTGCCCCAATCCATCCACGGGTGCTCCCATCCCATTCCCACCTATGGGTGCCCCAATCCATCCATGGGTGCCCCCATCCCGTTCCCACCTATGGGTGCCCCAATCCACCCATGGGTGCCCCCATCCCGTTCCCACCCATGGGTGCCCCAATCCACCCATGGTTGCCCCCATCCCCATGGGTGCCCCCATCCCATTCCCACCCATGGGTGCCCCAATCCACCCACGGGTGCCCCCATCCCATTCCCACCCATGGGTGCCCCAATCCACCCATGGGTGCCCCCATCCCATTCCCACCCACGGGTGCCCCCATCCCATTCCCACCCATGGTTGCCCCCATCCCCATGGGTGCCCCCATCCCATTCCCACCCATGGGTGCCCCCATCCCCATGGGTGCCCCCATCCCATTCCCACCCATGGGTGCCCCATTCCCACCCATGGGTGCCCCCATCCCCATGGCCGTGGGGGGTCCCTCAGCTCCGTGTCCCCCCCCAGATGACTCCGTGCTCAAGCGGCGCCCCCAGAAGGGCTGGAACGAGTCCGACCTGGACCTGGTCTATGAGAAGAAGCCCCCCAGCGGGGGGGGGTTCGACCGTGAGCAATGGGGGGGGGTCCAGAGCTGTTTTGGGGTGCCCTGGGGGGGGGTTGGGGTGCTCCTGACCCCTTTGTGTTGTCCTCCCCCCCCTTTAGGTCCCTCTCCATCCCTGGGGCTGATGCTGTCACCATGGAGGGAGTCGAGCCTGGATGGGGCCGGAGGGGGCAAGGTGAGAGCTGGGGAGGGGGGGGGCCTGCAGGCCTGATGCCGGGTGATGGGCACAGGGGCCGGTTATGGGGGTCCTGCAGGCCTGATGCCGGGTGATGGGCGCAGGGGCCGGTTATGGGGGTCCCGCAGGCCTGATGCCGGGTGATGGGCGCAGGGGCTGGTTATGGGGGTCCCGCAGGCCTGATGCCGGGTGATGGGCGCAGGGGCTGGTTATGGGGGTCCTGCAGGCCTGATGCAGGGTGATGGGCACAGGGGCTGGTTATAGGGGTCCTGCAGGCCTGATGCCGGGTGATGGGCACAGGGGCCGGTTATGGGGGTCCTGCAGGCCTGATGCGGGGTGATGGGCGCAGGGGCCGGTTATGGGGGTCCTGCAGGCCCGATGCCGGGTGATGGGCGCAGGGGCCGGTTATGGGGGTCCTGCAGGCCCGATGCCGGGTGATGGGCGCAGGGGCCGGTTATGGGGGTCCTGCAGGCCCGATGCCGGGTGATGGGCGCAGGGGCTGGTTATGAGTCCTGCAGGCCTGATGCCGGGTGATGGGCACAGGGGCCGGTTATGGGGGTCCTGCAGGCCTGATGCCGGGTGATGGGCACAGGGGCCGGTTATGGGGGTCCTGCAGGCCTGATGCCGGGTGATGGGCGCAGGGGCCGGTTATGGGGGTCCCGCAGGCCTGATGCCGATGATGGGCACAGGGGCCGGTTATGGGGGTCCCGCAGCCCCGCTGCCGGGTGATGGGTGCAGGGGCTGGTCCTGGGGTCCCGCAGCCCCGATGCCGGGTGATGGGCGCAGGGACTGATTATGGGGTCCCACAGCCCCAATGCCCGGTGATGGGCGCAGGGGCTGGTTATGGGGTCCTGCAGGCCTGATGCCGGGTGATGGGCGCAGGGGCCGGTTATGGGGGTCCTGCAGGCCTGATGCCGGGTGATGGGCGCAGGGGCGGGTTATGGGGGTCCTGCAGGCCTGATGCCGGGTGATGGGCGCAGGGGCCGGTTATGGGGGTCCTGCAGGCCTGATGCCGGGTGATGGGCGCAGGGGCCGGTTATGGGGGTCCTGCAGGCCTGATGCCGGGTGATGGGCACAGGGGCCGGTTGTAGGGGTCCTGCAGGCCTGATGCCGGGTGATGGGCGCAGGGGCCGGTTATGGGTCCTGCAGGCCTGATGCCGGGTGATGGGCGCAGGGGCCGGTTATGGGGGTCCCGCAGGCCTGATGCCGGGTGATGGGCACAGGGGCCGGTTATGGGGGTCCCGCAGGCCTGATGCCGGGTGATGGGCACAGGTGCTGGTTATGGGGGTCCCGCAGGCCTGATGCTGGGTGATGGGCGCAGGGGCCAGTTATGGGTCCTGCAGGCCTGATGCCGGGTGATGGGCGCAGGGGCCGGTTACGGGGGGGGTTCCGTCCTCCCCGCTCACACCGATGCCCCGCAGGACGCCGCCTACGGCGGGCACAGCTCCACCCTGCCCCGCAACTTCAAGCTGCCCCCGGGGGAGCGGCGGGGCCCGGAGGGGCCGTTCCGGCGCGGGGGGGCCGGGTCCCTGCCGCGGGCCTGGCCCGTGTCCCGCATCCCGGTGCCCCCCCCCGCCGCTCCGCGCCCCCCCCGCCAGAAGCCGCTGCCGCTCTCGGTGATCTTCAAGCTCCAAAACGCGTTCTGGGAGCAAGGGGGGGGCGCGCCCCGGGCGCTGCCCCTCGGACCCCCCCCCTCCGCGGCGAGGGCACCGCAGAAGCAGCCCCAGGGACCTGCGCTGCCCCCCGGGGAAGGTGAGGGATGGGGGGGGGGGGTTGGGGGCTGCAGCATTGGGGGTGCGAGGGGGGTTTGGGGCACAGGAGGGGTTTGGGGGGTACAGGGGGGTTTGGGGGGTACAGGGGGGTTGGGGGGGCACAGGAGGGGTTTGGGGGGCACAGGGGGGTTGGGGGGGCACAGGAGGGGTTGGGGGGGCACAGGAGGGGTTTGGGGGGCACAGGGGGTTTGGGGGCACAGGGGGGTTGGGGGCACAGGGGGGGTTGGGGGCACAGGGGGTTTGGGGGCTGCAGCGTTGGGGGCACAGGAGGGGCGTACAGGGGGATTTGGGGGGGCACAGGGGGTTTGGGGGGTACAGGGGGTTTGGGGGGGCACAGGGGTTTGGGGGGCACAGGGGGTCTGGGGGCACAGGGGATTTGGGGGCTGCAGCGTTGGGGGCACAGGAGGGGTTTGGGGGGCACAGGGGGGTTTGGGGGCTGCAGCGTTGGGGGCACAGGAGGGGTTTGGGGGGCACAGGAGGGGTTTGGGGGGCACAGGGGGGCTCCGGGGGGGTCTCAGGAGGGCTCTGGCGGTCACAGGAGGGCTCCGGGGGGGGGGGTGTCACAGAAGGGGCTCGGGGGGGTCACAGGGGGGCTCTGGGGGGGTCACAGGGGGGCTCTGGGGGGTTCTTAGAAGGGCTCCAGTGGGGTCACAGGAGGGGTCCGGGGGGGGTCCCAGGGTGGCTCCGAGGGGTCCCAGGGGGGCTCTGGGGGGGTCCCATGGGGGATCCGAGGGGGTCTCAGGAGGGGTCCGGGGGGTCCCATGAGGGCTCTGGGGGGGCCCATGAGGTCCTGGTGGGGTCCCATGGGTGATCCGGGAGGGTTCCATGAGGTCTCTGGGGGGCTCCCATGAAGTCTCTGGGGGGGATCCCATGATGTCTCTGGGGGGGTCCCATGGGGGATCCGGGAGGGTTCCATGAGGTCTCTGGGGGGCTCCCATGAAGTCTCTGGGGGGGGTCCCATGATGTCTCTGGGGGGTTCCCATGATGTCTCTTGGGGGGGGTCCCATGAAGTCTCTGGGGGGGTCCCATGATGTCTCTGAGGGGGGGGTCCCATGATGTCTCTGGAGGGGGTTCCCATGATGTCTCTGGGGGGGTCCCATGATGTCTCTGGGGGGGTCCCATGATGTCTCTGGGGGGGTCCCATGATGTCTCTGGGGGGGGGTCCCATGATGTCTCTGGGGGGGGTCCCATGATGTCTCTGGGGGGTTCCCATGATGTCTCTGGGGGGGTCCCATGATGTCCCTGGGGGGGTCCCATGATGTCTCTGGGGGGGGTCCCATGATGTCTCTGGGGGGGTCCCATGATGTCTCTGGGGGGGTCCCATGAAGTCTCCCTCGTGTCCCCACGGGTCTCCTCCTCCTCCTCCTCCTCCTCCTCCTCCTCCTCCTCCCTCCCCGTTTCCCCGCAGCCGCGGCCCCTTCCCGGCCGCTTCCTCCGGAGCCGTCGCTGCCGGAGGCGGACTCGGAGCTGGAGCCGGAGGTGTCGGAGACGGCGAGGCCGTGGCGCGGCCGCTGAGCCCGACCCGGCTGCAGCCGCTGTTGCCCGCCGAGGCGCAGCGGGACCCGGAGTTCCGCGCCGTTGCGCGCTCCCTCGCGGAGATGCCGCGGCCGCTCAAGCGCCGCGGGTCCATGGAGCAGAGCCCGGGGCCGCCCCCCCGCGCCCGTCAGTACCAGGAGCTCATCACCAAGCTCCTGCACCGGGGACCCCCCCCCGCCGTCACCGGGGAACCCGAGACCGGAGCCGGAGCCGCGCACGGCGAAGGTCGCCAAAGTCCCCCCGCGGAACCGGAACCCGAAAGCCCCGCGCCAGCCCCGGTGAGAGCGAGAGGGACCCCGGGGTCCTTTGGGTGCTCCGGGGGGGGGGACCCCTGATGTCCTTTGGGTGCTCCTGGGGGGGACTTGGGGTCCTTTGGGTGCTCCTGGGGTCCTTTGGGTGCTTCTGAGGGGGGGGGACCCTGATGTCCTTTGGGTGCTCCTGGGGTCCTTTGGGTGCTTCTGAGGGGGGGGACCCTGATGTCCTTTGGGTGCTCCTGGGGTCCTTTGGGTGCTTCTGAGGGGGGGGACCCTGATGTCCTTTGGGTGCTCCTGGGGTCCTTTGGGTGCTTCTGAGGGGGGACCCTGATGTCCTTTGGGTGCTCCTGGGGTCCTTTGGGTGCTTCTGAGGGGGGGGACCCTGATGTCCTTTGGGTGCTCCTGGGGTCCTTTGGGTGCTTCTGAGGGGGGGGACCCTGATGTCCTTTGGGTGCTCCTGGGGTCCTTTGGGTGCTCCTGGGGTCCTTTGGGTGCTTCTGAGGGGGGGGGACCCTGATGTCCTTTGGGTGCTCCTGGGGTCCTTTGGGTGCTCCTGGGGGGGGGGAGGTTGGGGTCCTTTGGGTGCTCCTGGGGTCCTTTGGGTGCTCCTGGGGGGGGACTTGGGGTCCTTTGGGTGCTCCTGGGGTCCTTTGGGTGCTCCTTGGGGTACTTTGGGTGCTCCTGGGGTCCTTTGAGTGCTCCTGGGGGGGGAACTTGGGGGTCCTTTGGGTGCTTCTGGGGTCCTTTGGGTGCTTCTGAGGGGGGGGGACCCTGATGTCCTTTGGGTGCTCCTGGGGTCCTTTGGGTGCTTCTGAGGGGGGGGACCCTGATGTCCTTTGGGTGCTCCTGGGGTCCTTTGGGTGCTTCTGAGGGGGGGGGACCCTGATGTCCTTTGGGTGCTCCTGGGGTCCTTTGGGTGCTTCTGAGGGGGGGGGACCCTGATGTCCTTTGGGTGCTCCTGGGGTCCTTTGGGTGCTTCTGAGGGGGGGGACCCTGATGTCCTTTGGGTGCTCCTGGGGTCCTTTGGGTGCTTCTGAGGGGGGGGACCCTGATGTCCTTTGGGTGCTCCTGGGGTCCTTTGGGTGCTTCTGAGGGGGGGGGACCCTGATGTCCTTTGGGTGCTCCTGGGGTCCTTTGGGTGCTTCTGAGGGGGGGGACCCTGATGTCCTTTGGGTGCTTCTGAGGGGGGGACTTGGCGTCCTTTGGGTGCTCCTTGGGGGGAACTTGGGGTCCTTTGGGTGCTCCTGGGGTCCTTCGCGGTTTCTGAGGGGGAACTTGGAGTCCTTTGGGTGCCCCGGAGAGGACCTTGGGGTCCTTTGGGTGCTCCTGGGGGGGGAACTTGGGGTCCTTTGGGTTTCTCCTGGGTCCTTTGGGTGCTCCTGAGGGGGGACTTGGGTCCTTTGGGTGCTTCTGAGGGGGGGGACTGGGGTCCTTTGGGTGCTCCTGGGGGGGGGGAGGTTGGGGTCCTTTGGGTGCTCCTTGGGTCCTTTGGGTGCTTCTGAGGGGGGGGACTTGGGGTCCTTTGGGTGCTCCTGGGGTCCTTTGGGTGCTTCTGGGGGGGACTTGGGGTCCTTTGGGTGCTCCTGGGGTCCTTTGGGTGCTCCTGGGGGGGGACTTGGGGTCCTTTGGGTGCTCCTGGGGTCCTTTGGGTGCTCCTTGGGGTACTTTGGGTGCTTCTGAGGGGGGGGACCCTGATGTCCTTTGGGTGCTCCTGGGGTCCTTTGGGTGCTTCTGAGGGGGGACCCTGATGTCCTTTGGGTGCTCCTGGGGTCCTTTGGGTGCTTCTGAGGGGGGGGACCCTGATGTCCTTTGGGGTGCTCCTGGGGTCCTTTGGGTGCTTCTGAGGGGGGGGACCCTGATGTCCTTTGGGTGCTCCTGGGGGGGACTTGGGGTCCTTTGGGTGCCCCGGAGAGGACCTTGGGGTCCTTTGTGTGCTCCTGGGGGGGAACTTGGGGTCCTTTGGGTGCTTCTGAAGGGGGGGGGACTGGGGGTCCTTTGGGTGTTCCTGGGGTCCTTTGGGTGCTCCTGGGGTCCTTTGGGTGCTTCTGAGAGGGGGGGGACTGGGGGTCCTTTGGGTGCTCTTGGGGGGGACTTGGGGTCCTTTGGGTGCTCCTGGGGAGGGGGGACTTGGCGTCCTTTGGGTGCTCCTTGGGGGGGAACTTGGGGTCCTTTGGGTGCTCCTGGGGTCCTTCGGGTGTTTCTGAGGGGGGGGGACTGGGGGTCCTTTGGGTGCTCCTGGGGTCCTTTGGGTGCTTCTGAGGGGGGGGACTGGGGGTCCTTTGGGTGCTTCTGAGGGGGGGGGACTGGGGGTCCTTTGGGTGCTTCTGAGGGGGGGGGACTGGGGGTCCTTTGGCTGCTCCTGGGGGGACCCTGATGTCCTTTGGGTGCTCCTGGGGTCCTTTGGGTGCTTCTGGGGGGGACTTGGGGTCCTTTGGGTGCTCCTGGGGTCCTTTGGGTGCTCCTGGGGGGGACTTGGGGTCCTTTGGGTGCTCCTGGGGTCCTTTGAGTGCTCCTGGGGGGGGAACTTGGGGTCCTTTGGGTGCTTCTGGGGTCCTTTGGGTGCTCCGGGGAGGGGGACCCTGATGTCCTTTGGGTGCTTCTGGGGTCCTTTGGGTGCTCCTGGGTCCTTTGGGTGCTCCTGGGGTCCTTTGGGTGCTTCTGGGGTCCTTTGGGTGCTCCTGGGGGTTCCCTGATGTCCTTTGGGTGCCCCGGTGTTCCCCCGGCGGCCGCTGACTCCGCTCCCGGTACCGGTGTTGGGGGGGGGGGTCCAGGAGCTGCGCTCGGCGCTGCGGGACCCGGCCTCCCCCCGCAAGCGTCCCGGGGCGCGGGTGCGGCTGAACCCGCTCGTGCTGCTGCTGGACGCGGCGCTCACCGGGGAGCTCGAGGTGGTGCAGCAGGCGGTGGCAGAGGTGCGGCAGCACCGGGACCGGGATGGCGGGGGCGAGGAGAGGGGGGTGCGGGGAGAGGGAGCGGGATGAGGGAGGCAGGGACCGGGGGGTGCGGGAACAGAGACCAGGGGATGCGGGGACAGGAACTGGGACCAGGGGGATGCAGAGACAGGGACCGGGATGCGGGAGACAGGGACTGGGGGGTGCGGGAACAGGGACCAGGGGGATGTGGGAACAGAGACCGGCACCAGGGCCCGGGGGATGCGGGGACAGGAACTGGGATACGGGAACAGGGACCGGGGGGATGCGGGACAGGGACCGGGATGTGGGAACAGGGACCAGGAGATGCGGGGACAGGAACCGGGATGTGGGGACAGGGACCGGGTGATGTGGGAACAGGGACCGGGACCAGGGGGATGCAGGAACAGGGACCGGGATGCGGGAGACAGGGACCGGGTGATGTGGGAACAGGGACCGGGATGCGGGAGACAGGGACCGGGGGGTGAGGGAGGCAGGGACCGGGGGGTGAGGGAGGCAGGGACCGGGGGGATGCAGGAACAGGAACCGGGATACGGGAGACCGGGACCAGGGGATGCGGGAACAGGGACCGGGGGATGCAGGAACAGGGACCGGGATGGCGGGGGCGAGGAGAGGGGGGTGCGGGGAGAGGGAGCGGGATGCGGGAGGCAGGGACCGGGGGGTGAGGGAACAGAGACCAGGAGCAGGGGGATGCAGAGACAGGGACCGGGATGCGGGAACAGGGACTGGGATGCGGGAACAGGGACCGGGATGTGGGGACCAGGACCAGGGGGATCGGGGACAGGGACCAGGATACGGGAGACAGGGACCGGGGGGTGCGGGATCGGGGACCGGGGGATGTGGGAACAGGGACCGGGGGGATGCAGAACAGGAACCGGGATACGGGAGACCGGGACCAGGGGATGCGGGAACAGGGACCGGGATGCGGGAGGCAGGGACCGGGATGTGGGGACCAGGACCAGGGGGATGCGGGGACAGGGACCAGGATACGGGAGCAGGGACCGGGGGGTGCGGGAACAGGGACCGGGATGTGGGGACCAGGACCAGGGGGATGCGGGATCAGGGACCAGGGGGATGAGGGGACAGGAACCGGGATGCGGGAACAGGGACCAGGACCAGGGGGATGCGGAGACAGGGACCGGGATGCGGGAACAGGGACCAGGACCAGGGGGATGCGGAGACAGGGACCGGGATGCGGGAGACAGGGACTGGGGGGTGCGGGAACAGGGACCGGGATACGGGAGACAGGGACCAGGGGGATGCGGGATCGGGGACAGGGACCGGGGGATGTGGGGACAGGGACTGGGGGGATGAGGGGACAGGAACCGGGATACGGGAGACAGGGACCGGGGGATGCGGGATCGGGGACCAGGACCAGGGGGATGCGGGATCGGGGACCAGGGGGATGAGGGGACAGGAACCGGGATGCGGGAACAGGGACCAGGACCAGGGGGATGCGGGATCGGGGACCGTGGGGATGCGGGGACAGGAACCGGGATGCGGGAACAGGGACCGGGGGGTGCGGGGACAAGAACCGGGATAGGGGAGACAGGGACCGGGACCAGGGGGATGCGGGGAGAGGGACCAGGGGGATGCAGGAACAGGGACCGGGGCATGTGGGGAGAGGGACCCGGGGATGCGGGGTCAGGGACAGGGTGGATGCGGGCTGGGGGTGATGAGGAGAGCACTTGTGGGGTGATGGAGGTGACAGAAGATGCTCTCGGGGTGGCACTGGGATACGGAGGGGACGGGGGTGGCAGTGGGGTGCTCTGGGGGGCACTGGGGCACAGGGTGCTCTGGGGGGTGGCACAGAGGCTCTGCGGCGGTGCCGTGGGGCACAGGGGGTGCCGTGCGGGTGGCCTGGGGCACAGGGGTGCTGTGTGGGTGCTGTGGGGCGCCAGGCGCTGTGCGGTGCTGTGGGTCACAGGGGTGCTGTGGGTCACAAGGGATGCTGTGGGGCACAGGAGGTGCTGTGGGTCACAGGGGATGCTGTGGGTCACAGGGGATGCTGTGGGGCACAGGAGGTGCTGTGGGTCACAAGGGATGCTGTGGGTCACAGGGGTGCTGTGGGTCACAAGGGATGCTGTGGGTCACAGGGGTGCTGTGGGTCACAGGGGATGCTGTGGGTCACAGGGGATGCTGTGGGGCACAGGAGGTGCTGTGGGTCACAGGGGATGCTGTGGGTCACAGGGGATGCTGTGGGTCACAGGGGATGCTGTGGGTCACAGGGGTGCTGTGGGTCACAGGGGATGCTGTGGGGCACAGGAGGTGCTGTGGGTCACAGGGGATGCTGTGGGTCACAGGGGATGCTGTGGGTCACAGGGGATGCTGTGGGGCACAGGAGGTGCTGTGGGTCACAGGGGATGCTGTGGGTCACAGGGGATGCTGTGGGTCACAGGGGATGCTGTGGGGCACAGGAGGTGCTGTGGGGCACAGGGGGTGGCACAGGGGGTCCCGTGCGGGTGCCGCGGGGCTCAGGGCACTGTGCGGGTGCTGTGGGGCTCAAGGGTGCTGTGGGGGTGCTGTGGGGCACAGGGGGTGGCACAGGGGGTGCTGTGGGGGTGCTGTGGGGCACAGGGCGATGCCATGGGGGTGCTGTGGGGCACAGGGGGTGCTGTGGGGGTGCTGTGGGGGTGCCGTGGGGCTGCAGTGGGGGTGCCGTGGGGCACAGGGGGTGCTGTGTGGGTGTGGTGGGAGTGCGGTGGGGGTGCGGTGGGGCTGCCGTGGGGCACAGGGGTTGCTGTGGGGGTGCGGTGGGGGTTCGGTGTGGGTGCGGTGTGGATGCTGTGGGGGTGCTGTGGGGCACAGGGGTGCTGTGGGGCACAGGGGTGCTGTGTGGGTGCTGTGGGGCTGCCGTGGGGCACAGGGGTTGCTGTGTGGGTGTGGTGTGGGTGCTGTGGGGGTGCTGTGGGGGTGCCGTGGGGCACAGGGTGCGGTGGGGCACAGGGGTTGCTGTGTGGGTGCCATGGGGGTGCCGTGGGGCACAGGGGTTGCTGTGGGGCACCGGGTGCGGTGGGGCACAGGGGTTGCTGTGTGGGTGTGGTGTGGGTGCTGTGGGGGTGCTGTGGGGGTGCCGTGGGGCACAGGGTGCGGTGGGGCACAGGGGTTGCTGTGTGGGTGCCATGGGGGTGCTGTGGGGCACAGGTGTTGCCGTGGGGCACCGGGTGCGGTGTGGGTGCTGTGGGGGTGCTATGGGGCACAGGGGTGCCGTGGGGCACAGGTGTTGCCGTGGGGCACCGGGTGCGGTGTGGATGCTGTGTGGGTGCTGTGGGGCACAGGGGTGCTGTGGGGTACAGGTGTTGCCGTGGGGCACAGGGGTTGCTGTGTGGGTGCTATGGGGCACAGGGGTGCTGTGGGGTACAGGTGTTGCCGTGGGGCACAGGGGTTGCTGTGTGGGTGCTGTGGGGCACAGGGGTGCTGTGGGGTACAGGTGTTGCCGTGGGGCACAGGGGTTGCTGTGTGGGTGCTATGGGGCACAGGGGTGCTGTGGGGTACAGGTGTTGCCGTGGGGCACAGGGGTTGCTGTGTGGGTGCTGTGGGGCACAGGGGTGCCGTGGGGCACAGGTGTTGCCGTGGGGCACCGGGTGCGGTGTGGATGCTGTGTGGGTGCTGTGGGGCACAGGTGTTGCCGTGGGGCACCGGGTGCGGTGTGGGTGCTGTGTGGGTGCTGTGTGGGTGCGGTGTGGGTGCGGTGTGGGTGCTGTGTGGGTGCTGTGTGGGTGCGGTGTGGGTGCTGTGTGGGTGCTGTGTGGGTGCTGTGTGGGTGCGGTGTGGGTGCTGTGTGGGTGCTGTGTGGGTGCGGTGTGGGTGCTGTGTGGGTGCGGTGTGGGTGCTGTGTGGGTGCGGTGTGGGTGCTGTGTGGGTGCTGTGTGGGTGCGGTGTGGGTGCTGTGTGGGTGCTGTGTGGGTGCGGTGTGGGTGCTGTGTGGGTGCTGTGTGGGTGCGGTGTGGGTGCTGTGTGGGTGCTGTGTGGGTGCGGTGTGGGTGCTGTGTGGGTGCTGTGTGGGTGCGGTGTGGGTGCTGTGTGGGTGCGGTGTGGGTGCTGTGTGGGTGCTGTGGGGTACAGGGGTGCCGTGGGGCACAGGTGTTGCCGTGGGGCACCGGGTGCGGTGTGGATGCTGTGGGGGTGCTGTGTGGGTGCTGTGTGGGTGCTGTGTGGGTGCGGTGTGGGTGCTGTGTGGGTGCTGTGTGGGTGCGGTGTGGGTGCGCGGGTGTGACGTGACGTCGCTGTCCGGCGCCGCAGCTGAACGACCCGAGCCAGCCCAACGACGAGGGCATCACGGCGCTGCACAACGCGATCTGCGGGGCGCACTACGGCATCGTGGAGTTCCTCATCGCCAGCGGAGCCAACGTCAACTCCCCCGACAGCCACGGATGGTGCGGGGGGACCGCGGGCTTGGGATGCGGGTGCGGGTGGGGTGGGGATGGATGGGGATGGGATGGGATGGGATGGGATGGGATGGATGTGTGTGATGGGATGGGATGGATGTCTATTATGGGATGGGATGGATGTGTGTTATGGGATGGGATGGATGTGTGTGATGGGATGGGATGGATGTGTGTGATGGGATGGGATGGATGTGTGTGATGGGATGGGATGGATGTGTGTGATGGGATGGGATGGGAATGGGATGGGATGGGATGGATGTGTGTTATGGGATGGGATGGATGTGTGTGATGGGATGGGATGGATGTGTGTTATGGGATGGGATGCGGATGGATGTGTGTTATGGGATGGGATGGGATGGATGTGTGTGATGGGATGGGATGGATGTGTGTGATGGGATGGGATGGATGTGTGTTATGGGATGGGATGCGGATGGATGTGTGTTATGGGATGGGATGGGATGGATGTGTGTGATGGGATGGGATGGATGTGTGTGATGGGATGGGATGGATGTGTGTGATGGGATGGGATGGATGTGTGTGATGGGATGGGATGGCTGGGGATGGGATGGGGATGGGATAGATGTGTGTGATGGGATGGGATGGGATGGATGTGTGTGATGGGATGGGATGCGGATGGATGTGTGTTATGGGATGGGATGGGATGGATGTGTGTGATGGGATGGGATGGATGTGTGTGATGGGATGGGATGGATGTGTGTTATGGGATGGGATGCGGATGGATGTGTGTTATGGGATGGGATGGGATGGATGTGTGTGATGGGATGGGATGGATGTGTGTGATGGGATGGGATGGCTGGGGATGGGATGGGGATGGGATAGATGTGTGTGATGGGATGGGATGGGATGGATGTGTGTGATGGGATGGGATGGGATGGGATGGGATGGATGTGTGTTATGGGATGGGATGCGGATGGATGTGTGTTATGGGATGGGATGGGATGGATGTGTGTGATGGGATGGGATGGATGTGTGTTATGGGATGGGATGGATGTGTGTTATGGGATGGGATGCGGATGGATGTGTGTTATGGGATGGGATGGGATGGATGTGTGTGATGGGATGGGATGGATGTGTGTTATGGGATGGGATGGGATGGATGTGTGTGATGGGATGGGATGGATGTGTGTGATGGGATGGGATGGATTTGTGTTATGGGATGGGATGGATGTCTATTATGGGATGGGATGGATGTGTGTTATGGGATGGGATGGATGTGTGTGATGGGATGGGATGGATGTGTGTGATGGGATGGGATGGATGTGTGGGATGGGATGGGATGGATGTCTGTTATGGGATGGGATGGATGTGTGTTATGGGATGGGATGGATGTGTGTGATGGGATGGGATGGATGTGTGTGATGGGATGGGATGGGGATGGATGTGTGTTATGGGATGGGATGGATGTGTGTTATGGGATGGGATGGATGTGTGTTATGGGATGGGATGGATGTGTGTGATGGGATGGGATGGATGTGTGTTATGGGATGGGATGCGGATGGATGTGTGTTATGGGATGGGATGGGATGGATGTGTGTGATGGGATGGGATGGATGTGTGTGATGGGATGGGATGGCTGGGGATGGGATGGGGATGGGATAGATGTGTGTGATGGGATGGGATGGGATGGATGTGTGTGATGGGATGGGATGGGATGGGATGGGATGGATGTGTGTTATGGGATGGGATGCGGATGGATGTGTGTTATGGGATGGGATGGGATGGATGTGTGTGATGGGATGGGATGGATGTGTGTGATGGGATGGGATGGATGTGTGTTATGGGATGGGATGCGGATGGATGTGTGTTATGGGATGGGATGGGATGGATGTGTGTGATGGGATGGGATGGATGTGTGTGATGGGATGGGATGGCTGGGGATGGGATGGGGATGGGATAGATGTGTGTGATGGGATGGGATGGGATGGATGTGTGTGATGGGATGGGATGGGATGGGATGGGATGGATGTGTGTTATGGGATGGGATGCGGATGGATGTGTGTTATGGGATGGGATGGGATGGATGTGTGTGATGGGATGGGATGGATGTGTGTTATGGGATGGGATGGATGTGTGTTATGGGATGGGATGCGGATGGATGTGTGTTATGGGATGGGATGGGATGGATGTGTGTGATGGGATGGGATGGATGTGTGTTATGGGATGGGATGGGATGGATGTGTGTGATGGGATGGGATGGATGTGTGTGATGGGATGGGATGGATTTGTGTTATGGGATGGGATGGATTTGTGTTATGGGATGGGATGGATGTCTATTATGGGATGGGATGGATGTGTGTTATGGGATGGGATGGATGTGTGTGATGGGATGGGATGGATGTGTGTGATGGGATGGGATGGATGTGTGGGATGGGATGGGATGGATGTGTGGGATGGGATGGATGTGTGTTATGGGATGGGATGGATGTGTGTGATGGGATGGGATGGATGTCTATTATGGGAAGGGATGCAGATGGATGTGTGTTATGGGATGGGATGCGGATGGATGTGTGTGATGGGATGGGATGGATGTGTGTGATGGGATGGGATGCGGATGGATGTGTGCTATGGGATGGGATGGATGTGTGTGATGGGATGGGATGGATGTGTGTGATGGGATGGGATGGATGTGTGTGATGGGATGGGATGGGGATGGATATGTGTTATGGGATGGGATGGATGTGTGTGATGGGATGGGATGGATGTGTGTTATGGGATGGGATGGATGTCTGTTATGGGATGGGATGGATGTGTGTTATGGGATGGGATGGATGTGTGTTATGGGATGGGATGTGGATGGATGTCTGTTATGGGATGGGATGGATGTGTGTTATGGGATGGGATGGATGTGTGTGATGGGATGGATGTCTGTTATGGGATGGGATGGATGTGTGTTATGGGATGGGATGGATGTCTATTATGGGATGGGAATGGGATGGATGTGTGTTATGGGATGGGGTCTCCCATGGCTCCACCCCTTTCCCCCACCCCAGGACCCCCCTGCACTGCGCGGCCTCGTGCAACGACACCAGTGTCTGCGTGGCCCTGGTGCGCCACGGCGCCGCCATCTTTGCCACCACCACCAGCGACGGCAGCCTGGCCGTGGAGAAGTGTGACCCCTACCGGGAGGGCTACAGCGACTGCTACAACTACCTCACCGGTAGCACCGGGCTGGGGGGGAATGGGGTAATGGGGGCAATGGGGTAATGGGGGGCAATGGGGGAATGGGATAATGGGGGCAATGGGGGTAATGGGGGCAATGGGGTAATGGGGGTAATGGGGTAATGGGGGCAATGGGGTAATGGGGGGCAATGGGATAATGGGGGTAATGGGGCAATGGCATAATGGGGGGCAATGGGAGTAATGGGGTAATAGGGGCAATGGGGTAATGCGGGCAATGGGGTAATGGGGGCAATGGGGGTAATGGGAGTAATGGGGTAATGGGGGCAATGGGGTAATGGGGGTACTAGGGGCAATGGGGGCAATGCGGGCAATGGGGTAATGGGGGTAATGGGGGCAATGGGGGTAATGGAAGTAATGGGGTAATGGGGGTAATGGGAGTAATGGGGTAATGGGGGCAATGGGGTAATGGGGGTAATGGGGTAATGGGAGTAATGGCGTAATGGGGGTAATGGGGTGCAATGGGGTAATGGGATAATGGTGGCAATGGGGGTAATGCAGGTGATGGGAGGCTATAATGGGAATGGGGGTAATGGGGCGTAATGGGGTAATGGGGGGCAATGAGATAATAGGGCAATGGTGGCAATGGGGGTAATGCGGGTGATGGGGGGCTATAAGGGGAATGGGCGTAATGGGGGCAATCAGAGCAATGGGGCAATGATGCTGATGCCCCGTCCCTGTGCCCCACAGAGGTGGAGCAGGGCAATGGGGCTGTGTTGGGGTACCAGGGCTGTGTTCATTGATGCTGATGCCCTGTCCCTGTGCCCCACAGAGGTGGAGAAGGGCAATGGGGCTGTGTTGGGATGCAGGGGCTGTGTTCATTGATGCTGATGCCCCGTCCCTGTGCCCCACAGAGGTGGAGCAGGGCAATGGGGCTGTGTTGGGATGCAGGGGCTGTGTTCATTGATGCTGATGCCCTGTCCCTGTGCCCCACAGAGGTGGAGAAGGGCAATGGGGCTGTGTTGGGATGCAGGGGCTGTGTTCATTGATGCTGATGCCCCGTCCCTGTGCCCCACAGAGGTGGAGCAGGGCAATGGGGCTGTGTTGGGATGCAGGGGCTGTGTTCATTGATGCTGATGCCCTGTCCCTGTGCCCCACAGAGGTGGAGCAGGGCAATGGGGCTGTGTTGGGATGCAGGGGCTGTGTTCATTGATGCTGATGCCCCGTCCCTGTGCCCCACAGAGGTGGAGCAGGGCAATGGGGCTGTGTTGGGGTACCAGGGCTGTGTTCATTGATGCTGATGCCCCGTCCCTGTGCCCCACAGAGGTGGAGCAGGGCAATGGGGCTGTGTTGGGGTACCAGGGCTGTGTTCATTGATGCTGATGCCCCGTCCCTGTGCCCCACAGAGGTGGAGCAGGGCAATGGGGCTGTGTTGGGATGCAGGGGCTGTGTTCATTGATGCTGATGCCCTGTCCCTGTGCCCCACAGAGGTGGAGCAGGGCATGGGGGTGCTCAACAGCGGCGTGGTTTACGCGCTCTGGGATTACAGCGCGGCGCTGGGGGACGAGCTCTCGTTCCGGGAGGGGGAGCCGGTGACGGTGCTGCGGCGGCAGCGCCCCGGGGACGTGGATTGGTGGTGGGGGTCCCTGTACGGGCACGAGGGCTTCGTGCCCCGCAACTACTTTGGGGTGAGTGCGGGGGGGGGGGGGGGGGGTGTCCCGCGTCCATATGGGTGCCCCCATCCCTATCCCCTATGGGTGCCCCCATCCCTATCCCCTATGGGTGCCCCCATCCCTATCCCCTATGGGTGCTCCCATCCCTATCCCCTATGGGTTCCCCCCATCCCTATCCCCTATGAGTGCCCCCATCCCTATCTCCCTATGGGTTCCCCCCATCCCTATCCCCTATGGGTTCCCCCCATCCCTATCTCCCTATGGGTGCCCCCATCCCTATCTCCCTATGGGTTCCCCCCATCCCTATCCCCTATGGGTGCCCCAATCCCTCTCCCCTATGGGTTCCCCCCATCCCTATCGCCTATGGGTGCCCCAATCGCTCTCCCCTATGGGTGTTCCCATCCCTATCCCCTGTGGGTGCCCCCATCCCTATCCCCTATGAGTGCCCCCATCCCTATCCCCTATGGGTTCCCCCCATCCCTATCTCCCTATGGGTGCCCCCATCCCTATCCCCTGTGGGTGCCCCCATCCCTATCCCCTATGGGTTCCCCCCATCCCTATCCCCTATGGGTTCTCCCCATCCCTATCCCCTATGGGTGCCCCCATCCCTATCCCCTATGGGTTCCCCCCATCCCTATCCCCTATGGGTTCCCCCCATCCCTATCCCCTATGGGTTCCCCCCATCCCTATCTCCCTATATGTGCCCCCATCCCTATCCCCTATGGGTTCCCCCCATCCCTATCTCCCTATGGGTGCTCCCATCCCTATCCCCTATGGGTGCCCCCATCCCTATCTCCCTATGGGTTCCCCCATCCCTATCCCCTATGGGTTCCCCCCATCCCTATCTCCCTATGGGTGCTCCCATCCCTATCCCCTATGGGTGCTCCCATCCCTATCCCCTATGGGTTCCCCCCATCCCTATCCCCTATGGGTTCCCCCATCCCTATCCCTATGGGTTCCCCCCATCCCTATCTCCCTATGGGTGCTCCCATCCCTATCCCCTATGGGTGCCCCCATCCCTATCTCCCTATGGGTTCCCCCATCCCTATCCCCTATGGTTTCCCCCCATCCCTATCCCCTATGGGTTCCCCCCATCCCTATCTCCCTATGGGTGCCCCCATCCCTATCCCCTATGGGTTCCCCCCATCCCTATCTCCCTATGGGTGCTCCCATCCCTATCTCCCTATGGGTTCCCCCCATCCCTATCTCCCTATGGGTGCCCCCATCCCTATCCCCTATGGGTTCCCCCCATCCCTATCTCCCTATGGGTGCCCCCATCCCTATCTCCCTATGGGTTCCCCCCATCCCTATCTCCCTATGGGTGTTCCCATCCCTATCCCCTATGGGTGCTCCCATCCCTCTCCCCTATGGGTTCCCCCCATCCCTATCTCCCTATGGGTTCCCCCCATCCCTATCTCCCTATGGGTGCCCCCATCCCTATCTCCCTATGGGTGCCCCCATCCCCATTTCCCCCTCTTCCCCCCCCAGCTCTTCCCCAGGCTCCGCCCCCAGCGCCGGAAGCTCTGAGGGCTCTGAAGAGGCTCCGCCCCCCCCGCGGTGACGTTTCCTCCCCTCCCCTCCCCCCCCGGGTGTTGGCAGCGGTGGCGCCCCCTGGTGGCGGCTCCTCGGGGAGTAAAAACCTTTGGCTGTGCCCGGTCTGCGCCTGCGCGGGGCGGAGGGGGGGGTGGGGTGGGGGCGGTCATTCCATGAGCCCATTTCATGATCCCCGCATCCCGTGATTGTGTGGTCACATGATCCCATCATCCCTGTGATCCCATCATTCCATGATCCTATCATTCCGTGTTCCCTGCACCCCATCATTCTATGGTCACATGATCCCATCATCCCATTGTTCCATGATCCCATCATTCCATGATCTATCATTACATGATCCCTGCGTCCCATCATCCCTGTGATCCCATCATTCCATGATCCCATCATTCCGTGTTCCCTGCACCCCATCATTCTATGGTCACATGATCCCATCATCCCATTGTTCCATGATCCCATCATTCCATGATCTATCGTTACATGATCCCTGCGTCCCATCATCCCTGTGATCCCATCATTCCATGATCCCATCATTCTGTGTTCCCTGCACCCCATCATTCTGTGGTCACATGATCCCATCATCCCATTGTTCCATGATCCCATCATTCCATGATCTATCATTACATGATCCCTGTGTCCCATCATCCCTGTGATCCCATCATTCCATGATCCCATCATTCCGTGTTCCCTGCACCCCATCATTCTGTGGTCACATGATCCCATCATCCCATAAACCTGTGACCCCATCATCCCATTGTTCCCTGATCCAGTTTTTCCATGATCTATCATTACATGATCCCTGCGTCCCATCATTCCATGAGCCTATCATCCCATGAGCCCATCATCCCTGTGAGCCCATCATTCCATGATCCCATCATTCCCTCATCCCTGTGATCCCATCATTCCCTGATCCCATCATTCCCTGATCCCATTGTTCCATCATCCCTGTGATCCCATCATTCCCTGATGCCATCATCCCTGTGAGCCCCGCACCCCATCATTCTGTGATCCCATGATCCTGCCATCCCATCATTCCATGATCACATCATCCCACAAGCCTGTGATCCCATGATCCCATCATTCCATGATTCCATCATTCCATTATCCATTCCATGACTCCATGATCCCATCATCCCATGATCCCATCATTTCATGATCCCATGAATCCATGCTCCCATCATTCCATCATCCCTGTGATCCCAGCATTCCATTATCCCATCATCTCATGAACCTGTGTTCCCATGATTCCATGATTCCATGATCCCATCATCCTATGATTCCATCATCCCATTATCCATTCCATGACTCCATGTTTCCATAATCCCATGATCCCATCATTTCATGATCCCATGAATCCATGCTCCCATCATTCCATCATCCCTGTGATCCCAGCATTCCATTATCCCATCATCTCACGAACCTGTGTTCCCATGATTCCATGATCCCATGATTCCATGATCCCATCATCCTATGATTCCATCATCCCATTATCTATTCCATGACTCCATGTTTCCATGATCCCATGATTTCATGATCCCATGAATCCATGCTCCCATCATTCCCTGATCCCATCATTCCATGATCTCATCATCTCATGACCCTGTGATCCCATGATTCCATGATACCATCATCTATGATCCCATCATCCCGTTATCCATTCCATGTTTCCATAATCCCATGATCCCATCATTCCATGATCCCATGATCCCATCATCTCATGAAGCTGTGATCCCATCATTCCATGATCCCATGATCTCATCATCCCATTATCCATTCCATGACTCCATGATCCCGTGATCCCACCATTTTATGATCCCATCATCCCATTATCCATTCCGTATTTCCATAATCCCGTGATCCCATCATTCCATGATCTCATCATCTCATGACCCTGTGATCCCATGATTCCATGATACCATCATCTATGATCCCATCATCCTATTATCCATTCCATGTTTCCATAATCCCATGATCCCATCATTCCATGATCTTGTGATCCCATCATTCCATGATCTCATCATCTCATGACCCTGTGATCCCATGATTCCATGATACCATCATCTATGATCCCATCATCCTATTATCCATTCCATGTTTCCATAATCCCATGATCCCATCATTCCATGATCTTGTGATCCCATCATTCCATGATCTCATCATCTCATGACCCTGTGATCCCATGATTCCATGATACCATCATCTATGATCCCATCATCCTATTATCCATTCCATGTTTCCATAATCCCATGATCCCATCATTCCATGATCCCATCATCGCATTATCCATGTCATGATCCCATCATCCCATGATCCCATTATTCATTCCATGATCCCATCATCCCGTGATCCCATCATTTTATGATCCCATCATCCCATTTTCCATTCCGTGTTTCCATAATCCCATGAACCCATCATTCCATAATCCCATCATCTCATGACCCTGTGATCCCATCATTCCATGATCCCATCATTCCATGGTCCCATCATCCCATGATCTCATCATCCCATTATCCATTCCATGATCCCTCCATCCCATTATCCATTCCATGATCCCATCATCCCGTGATCCCATCATCGTATGATCCCATCATCCCATTATCCATTCCATGTTTCCATAATCCCATCATTCCATGATCTTGTGATCCCATCATTCCATGATCCCATCATCTCATAACCCTGTGATCCCATCATTCCATGATCCCATCATCCTATTACCCATCCCATGATCCCATGATCCATCCCATGATCTCATTACCCATCCCATGATCTCATGATCCATCCCACGATCCCATTATCCATCCCATGATCCCATGATCCATCTCATGATCCCATCATCCCATGATCCCCTCATTTTATGATCCCATCATCCATCCCATGATCCCATCATCCCATGATCCCCTCATTTTATGATCCCATCATCCCATTATCCATCCCATGATCCCATCATCCCGTTATCCATTCCATGATCCCATGATCCCATCATTTTATGATCCCATGAATCCATGATCCCATCATCCCATGTTCTCATCATCCCATTATCCATTCCATGATCCCATCATTCCATGATCTCATCATCCCATTATCCATTCCATCATCCCATCATCCCATGATCCCATCATTTTATGATCCCATCATCCCATGATCCCATCATTCCATGATCCCATCATCCCATGATCCATTCCATGATCCTATGATCCATCCCATCATCCCATGATCCCATCATTCCATGATCCCATGATCCCATTATCTATCCCATGACCCCATCATCCCATGATCCATCACATGATCCCATTATCCATCTCATGATCCCATCATCCCATGATCCCCTCATTTTATGATCCCATCATCCCATTATCCATTCCATCATCTCATTATCTATCCCATGATCCCATCATCCCATGATCCATCCCATGATCCCATCATTTTATGATCCCATGATCCCATCATTCCATGATCCCATCATTCCATGATCCTATGATCCATCCCATGATCCCATGGTCCCATTATCTATCCCATGATCCCATCATCCCATGATCCATCCCATGATCCCATCATTTTATGATCCCATGATCCCATTATCCATCCCATCATCCCATCATCCCATTATCCATCCCATGATCCCATCATTTTATGACCCCCCGAATCCATGCTCCCATCATTCCATCATCCCATTTGGGATTTGGGGGGGGGGGGGGGGGGCACAGATGGGGCCACCCTGCATCAGACCGGGGGGGGGGGGGCACCAGGATGCATTGGGGTGCCCCCCCCCCATAATGGGGTATCCCAGTCCCGGGGGGGGGGTGGGGGTGGTGAGATTCCCCCCTCCCCCCCCCAGTCCTCTTCCATTGGATGAGTTTTAACCCAAAACGAGCGGATTTTGGGGTTTTCGCTCTAATTTATAAGCACGGATGCGCCCCCCCCCCCCCCCGTTTCTCGCCTTCCCTTGCACAAGGAGCGCCAGCACCGGCCGTTGCCGTGGCAACCGGCGGGAACCCGAAGCCTCTTAAAGGGGCCGCGGCCACCGGAGACACCCCCGGACCCCCCCCCCCCCCAACGCCTCAGTTTCCCCATAGGGAATGGGGGGAGCTATGAGATCCATAGGGCTCTATGGGGGGGGCTGCGAGGGTATGGGGGGGGCTGCAGTTGGTCTATATAGGGGTCTGGGGGGCTGGCTATGAGGTCTATAGGGGTCTGGGGGGGCTATGGGGGGGCTATGGGAGACTAGGGCAGTGTCTATGGGGGTCTACTTGGATCTATAGGGCTCTATGGGGCGGGCTATGAGGGTATAGGAGGGTTATGGGGCGGCTGGGGGGGCTATGAGGTCTATGGGGGGATGTATAGGGGGTTAATGGGGGTCGAGGGGGGGCTATGAGGGTCTGGGTGGGCTATGGGGGGCTATATGGACCTATATAGTGGGGGGGGGTCTATGAGGTCTGGGGGGGGATGTGGGGAGCCCGGGGGGGGTCCATTTCCCATTCTGAGCACCCCGGGGGGGGTCCGACCGCCCCCCCCCCCATGGTCCCCCCCCGTGTCCGGTGGGGCCGGATTTTGGGGGTCCCCGGTGCCGGTTCCTGGTTCCCCCCCCCCCCAAAGCGCCCTCCGAGGCCCCGCCCACCGCGGTGACTGACAGCCCCCCCGCCCAATGGGGGGGCACGCCGGGAGATGGAGTCCCTCCCGCTACCCCCCCCCCGCCCCCCCCCCCGCCCGCCCGGGACCGACGGGGACCTGGGGGGGGGGGGGGGGGGGGCGAGCACCGGGACCGGGAGGGGCGGGGAGGGGGGGGGGGGGCACCGGGGCTGGGACCGATCCCGGTCGGGGGGGGGGAACCGGGAACTATCGGGATCCGGACCCGAAAGGGGGGGGGGATTTGGGGGGGGGGGGGGGGGGGAAGGAAAACCGGGGCTGAACCCCGCCGCCCCCTCCCCGTGCCCGAGCGGCGGAGCGGCCCCGGCGGCGCAAAATGGCCACGGCGCTGCACAAGCCCCTCAAATGGTGAGTGACCCCCCCCCAGCGCCGGTACCGGCGGGGGGGGGCACCGGGAGGGATCCCCCGGGATGGAGATACCGGTAAGGGCGGGGATGGAGCCGCCGGTATCAGGCGGGATGGAGCCACCGGTATGGGTGGGAGGGGATGGGGATCCCCCCCCTCCCCGGTATCAGCGGGAAGGGACCTACCGGGAATGGAGCATCCGGTACCGGGCGGGAGGGATGAACCGGAGATGGAGCCGCCGGTATTGACGGGGAGGCACCCACCGGGGATGGAGGCTCCGGTACCGGAGGGGAGGGACCCACCGAGATCGGAGGCTCCGGTACGGGCCGGGATGGATCCACCGAGGATGGAGCATCCGGTACTGGCGGGGAGGGAGGCACCGAGAGGGATCCCCGGGCTCCGGCGGGGATGGAACCTCCGGTTCCGGTCGGGAGGGACCTGCAGGGGATGGAGCCTCCGGTACCGGAGGGGTTGGCTCCATCGGGAGGGATCCCCGGGCTCCGACGGGAACGGAGCCTCCGGTACCGGTTGGAAGGGACCTACCGAGGATGGAGCCTCCGGTCCCGGAGGGAGGGACCCCCGGTCCCGTTCCCGGTGCCCGCCCCGGTCCCACCGTCCGGCCGCGCTGGGGGCGGGAGGACCCGTCCGTGGGGCCGGACCCCGCCCCCCCGCTCCCATGTCCCCCTTCCCCCCCCCCCCTTGTCCATCCCAACCCCCCCCCACCCCCCCACCCCCCCCCCCCTCCCCTGTCCGGGACCCGGCGCCCCCCGCTGGCACCGGACGCTTCATGCACCCGGGGGGGGGGGGGGGGGTTCGGGGGTCCCGGACACGGAGGGGGTGGGGGGAGGTGTCCCCATTCCCATAACGGGGCCGGGACCCAGTCACGGGTGGGGGTGGGGTGCGGGTGCTGGGGGGTTTTGGGGTGCGGGTTGGAAGGGGTTAGGGGGGGTTGGGGGGCCCCGGGGTTTTTGGGGTGCGGTTTTAGGGGGGGTCCCGAGGGATTGCGGGTGGGGGTTGGGGACGGGAGGTTTTGGGGTGCGGGTGTTGGGGGCATTCGAGGGGGGGGGGGTGTCCCGGTGTTTTGGGGTTTGGGTCCGGTCTGACCCATGCCCCGCAGGCCGGGGGTTGGGGGGATTTGGGGTGCGAGTCCCGGTGCTGAGTGCGGGTCCCGGTGCCGGTCCCGCTGCTGGGGGTTCAGATCCTGATGTGGGGGAAGGTCCCTGTGCTGGGCGCGGGTCCCAGTGTGGGTGCAGGTCCTGGTGCTGGTGTTGGGGTGCGGTTGCTGGTGTTGGGTGCAGGTCCCAGTGCAGGTCCCGATGTGGGTGCCAGTGTTAGAGTGCAGGTCCTGATGCAGGTCCCAGTGCTGGGGTGCAGGTCCCGGTGTTGGGTGCAGGTCTCGGTGCGGGTCCCAGTGCTGGGGTGTGGGTGCTGCCATTGGGGTCCCGCTGCAGGTCCTGGTGCTGGGGTACAGGTGCCGGTGCTGGGGTGCGGGTGCCAGCATGGGTGCCGGCGCTGGGTGCGGGTCCCGGTGCTGGGTGTGGGTGCTGCCGTTGGGGTCCCGGTACTGGGTGCGGGTCTTGGTGCTGAGTGCGGATGCTGCCGTTGGGGTCCCAGTGCTGGGTGCAGGTGCTGCCGTTGGGGTCCCGGTGCTGGGTGCGGGTCTTGGTGCGGGGTGTGGGTGCTGCCGTTGGGGTCCCGGGGCTGGGTGCGGGTGCTGCCGTTAGGGTCCCGGTGCTGGGTGCGGGTGCCGATGCAGGTCCCAGTGTTGGGGTGCGGGTCCCGGTGCTGGGTGTGGGTCTCGTTGCTGAGTGTGGATGCTGCCGTTGGGGACACGGTGCTGGGTGCGGGTGCCGGTGTTGGGGTACGTGTCCCGGTGCTGGGTGCAGGTGCTGGTGCAGGTCCCAGTGTTGGGGTGCGGGTCTCGGTGCTGAGTGTGGATGCTGCCGTTGGGGACACGGTGCTGGGTGCGGGTGCCGGTGCTGGGGTACGTGTCCCGGTGCTGGGTGCAGGGCCCGGTGCTGGGTGTGGGTCCCGGTGCTGGGTGTGGGTGCTGCCGTTGGGGTCCCGGTGCTGGGTGCGGGTCTCCGTGCTGAGTGCAGGTGCTGCCGTTGGGGTCCCGGTGCTGGGTGCGGGTGCTGCCGTTGGGGTCCCGGTGCTGGGTGCGGGTGCTGCCGTTGGGGTCCCGGTGCTGGGTGCGGGTGCCGGTGTTGGGGTGTGTGTCCCGGTGCTGGGTGCAGGTCCCGGTGCTGGGTGCGGGTCCTGGTGCTGGGTGCGGGTGCCGATGTTGGGGTGCAGGTCCCGGTGCTGGGTGCGGGTCCGGTGCTGGGTGCGGGTGCTGCCGTTGGGGTCCCGGTGCTGGGTGCGGGTGCTTCCGTTGGGGTCCCGGTGCTGGGTGCGGGTGCTTCCGTTGGGGTCCCGGTGCTGGGTGCGGGTGCTTCCGTTGGGGTCCCGGTGCTGGGTCTCGGTGCTGCCGTTGGGGTCCCGGTGCGGGTGTCCCTGACCGGTGCCCCGCAGCCCGGGGGAGGAGTTCTACCGCGCGGCGCTCGAGCACTGCCGCAGCTACAACGCGCGGCTCTGCGCGGAGCGCGGCTCCCGCCTGCCCTTCCTGGACAACCAGACCGGGGTGGCCCAGGGCAACTGCTACATCTGGATGGAGCGCACGCACCGGAGGCCCGGTGAGAGACTCCCCCCCCCGGTCGCCATGGACCCCCCCCCTTGAGCCCATGGATCCCCTTGTGCACATGGACCCCCTGTGCCCATCACCCCCTGTGCCTATGGACCCCTTTGTGCCCATCACCCTCTGTGGCCATCACCCCCCCTGTGCCCATCACCTCCTGTCCCCATCACCCCTGTGCCCATCACCCCCCTGTGCCCATCACCTCCTGTCCCCATCACCCCTGTGCCCATCACCCCCCTGTGCCCATCACCCCCTTTGTGCCCATCACCTCCTTTGTGCCCATGGATCCGTTTGTGGCCAACACCCCTGTGCCCATCATCCCCCTGTGCACATCACCCCCTGTGCCCATGGACCCCTTTGTGCCCATGGACCCCTCTGTGCCCATCACCCCCCTATGCCTATCACCCCCTTTGTGCCCATCACCCGCTTTGTGCCCATCACCCTCCTGTGCCCATCACCACCCTGAGCCCATCACCCCCCTGTGCCCATTACCCCCTTTGTGCCCATCACCCTCCTGTGCCCATCACCCCCCTGAGCCCACCACCCCCTGTATGCCCATCACCCCTGTGCCCATGGACCCCTTTGTGCCCATCACATCACTGTGCCCATCACCCCCCCATGCCCATCACACCACTGTGCCCATCACCCCCTGTGCCCATCACCCCTGTGCCCATGGACCCCTTTGTGTCCATAACACCACTGTGCCCATCACCCCCTGTGCCCATCACCCCCTTTGTGCCCATCACCCCCCCATGCCCATCACCCCACTGTGCCCATCACCCCTTTAGTGCTCATCACCCCCGTGCCCATAACCCTGTGCCCATGCACCCCTTTGTGCCCATAACTCCCTGTGCCCATCAACCCCTCCGTTCCAATCAACCCCTCCGTTCCTATAAACCCCTTTGTGCCCATCACCCCCCCTGTGCCCATCACCCCCCTGCGCCAACCAACCCCCCCCCCCCCCCTTACCCATTACCCCCATACCCATCACACCCCCATGCCCACCCTGTGTTCCAGGGCTGTCCCCAGGCCAGCTCTACACGTATCCAGCCCGGTGCTGGCGCAAGAAGCGGCGCTTGAACATCCTGGAGGACCCACGACTGCGGCCCTGTGAGCTATGGGGGGACATGGGGGGGGTTATGCTCATGGGTGGATATGGGGCAACATGGGGGGCATGGGGGACCCTGACCCCCCCTGTGACCCACAGACTGTGAGGTGCCTCTGCGCAAGGAGGGGGCCCCAGGGCTGCCTGAGGGGCCGGTGCTGGAGGCGCTGCTCAGTGCGGAGCCCATGGACAGGAGAGGGGACACCAGGGAGGAGGAGACAGCACTGGAGGGACCAGTGAGTTCATCATCATCCATCACCAGTCCATCACTCATCCATCATCCGTCATCTTCCATCCTTCCATAAATCCAGCCATCATCCATTCATCATCCACCCATCCCACCCATCCATCCATCCATCCATCCATCCATCCATCCATCCATCATCCCTCCATCCCTCATCCATCCATCCATCCATCATCCATCCATCCATCCATCAATCCATCATCCATCCATCATCCATCCATCCATAATCCAATCATACCTCCATCCATCATCCATCCATCATCCATCCATCCATCCATCATCCATCATCCATCCATCCATCATCCATCCATCCATCATCCGTCCATCCATCATCTGTCCATCCATCATCCATCCATCATCCATCCATCCATCATCCATCCATCCATCCATCCATCCATCCATCCATCCATCCATCCATCCATCCATCCTGCAACCATCATCCATCATCCATCCACCCATCCATCCACCCATTCATCCATCCATCCATCCATCCATCCATCCATCCATCATCCCTCCATCCCTCATCCATCCATCCATCCATCAATCCATCATCCATACATCATCCATCCATCCATAATCCAACCATCATACCTCCATCCATCGTCCATCCATCATCCATTGATCCATCCATCCATCCATCCATCCATCCATCATCCGTCCATCATCCATCCATCCACCCATCATCCATCCATCCATCGTCCATCCATCATCTGTCCATCCACCCATCATCCATCCATCCATCCAACCATCATCCATCCATCCACCATCCATCCCTCAATCCATCCATCATCCATCCATCCCTCCATCATCCATCATCCCTCCATCCATCATCCATCCATCCATCCATCCATCCATCATCCATCCACCCATCATCCATCCATCCATCCATCATCCATCCATCCATCATCCATCCACCCATCATCCATCCATCCATCCATCATCCATCCATCATCCATCATCCATCCATCCATCCATCCATCCATCCATCCATCCATCATCCAACCATCCACCCATCCATCCATCATCATCCATCCATCCATCCATCCATCCATCCATCATCCATCCATCCATCATCCATCCGTCATCCATCCATCCATCATGCATCCATCCATCCATCCATCCGTCATCCATCCATCCATCCATCCATCCATCATCCATCCGTCATCCATCCATCCATCATCATCCATCCATCCATCATCATCCATCCATCCATCCATCATCCATCCATCATCCATCCATCATCCATCATCCATCCATCCATCATCCATCCAACCATCATCCATTCATCCACCATCCATCCATCATCCATCCATCCATCATCAATCCATCATCCATCCATCCATCATCAATCCATCATCCATCCATCCATCATCCATCATCCATCCACCATCCATCCATCCATCCATCATCCATCCATCCATCCATCATCCATCCATCCATCATCCATCCATCCATCATTCATCCATCCACCATCCATCCATCCATCCATCCATCCATCCATCCATCATCCATCCATCATCCATCCATCCATCCATCCATCCATCATCCATCCATCCATCATCCATCCATCCATCCATCATCCGCCCAACCATCATCCGTCCATCCATCCATCCATCCATCATCCATCCATCATCCATCATCCATCCATCATCCATCCATACACCATCCATCATCCATCATCCCATCCATCATCCATCCATCCATCCATCCATCATCCATCCATCATCCATCCATCCATCCATCATCCATCCATCATCCGTCCATCCATCCATCCATCATCCATCCATCCATCCATCCATCATCCATCCATCATCCATCCATCCATCCATCATCCATCCATCCATCATCCGTCCATCCATCATCCATCATCCATCTATCCATCCACCATCAATCCATCATCCATCCATCCATCCATCATGCATCCATCATCCATCCATCCATCCATCCATCCATCCATCCATCCATCCATCCATCCATCATCCATCCATCATCCATTCATCCATCCATCATCCATCCATCCATCCATCATCCTCCATCCATCCATCATCCATCCATCCATCATCCATCCATCCATCATTCATCCATCCACCATCCATCCATCCATCATCCATCCATCATCCATCCATCCATTCATCATCCATCCATCCATCATCCATCCATCCATCCATCATCCGTCCATCCATCATCCGTCCATCCATCCATCCATCCATCATCCATCCATCATCCATCATCCATCCATCATCCATCCATACACCATCCATCATCCATCATCCATCCACATCCATCCATCCATCCATCATCCATCCATCATCCATCCACCCATCCACCATCCATCATCCATCCATCATCCATCCATCCATCCACCATCCATCCACCATCCATCCATCATCCATCCATCCATCATCCATCCATCCATCATCCATCCATCATCCATCCATCCATCCATCCATCCATCCATCCATCCATCCATCCATCATCCATCCATCCATCATCCATCCGTCATCCATCCATCCATCATGCATCCATCCATCCATCCATCCGTAATCCATCCATCCATCCAT